GGAAAGAAATGCAGCAGACTCTCCAAGGTAATGACAGGGGCTGTAAGGTCATTAAAGAGGGCTTTTAAGAAAGCTTTGTCTTCACATTTAAGTCTTTAAGGGGCATCCTCTTCACTTGAAACAGTGCTGGGGTCCAGAAACTTGCACGAAGTGGGGGGAAGGAAAAGAAATTCTAACATGGATGTGGGAGCTGAGGCTTTGAGAAGTGCACCAGATATAATGCAACTCAGTAAAATCCTGAGTAGTGGGAAAACTGATTCAAGTGACTCAGCAATTTATTCAACAAGTTGTATTATTTAGAATGACAGTACTATATAATTTTTTTCTCAAACCAAAAGTTAAAGCCTATGTAATAAAAGAAAGGACTTGTTTTGATTATAAAGTTCCGTAGCAAAATTTAAGCCTCAGTAAAAGATAGCCTATGTAGTGCAATATTTATTTTGACTACTTGAACCAATTGCCTCCTCCTTTGCACAAAAGGCTTCCACAGAAGCATTTTACCAGTTCTCAGTCACCTACTAAAACACCTACTTTTTTCGCCTGTGGCAGAATCTTTAAAAGATTAATTTTGTCATTTGTTTGTTTTTTGTTTTTTTTTTATAGAGATGTAAGTGAGAAGAACTCAGTCAAAGGGTATGTGGCCTTACAGGTTGGTATCTTAATATTGGATTCTTTCAATGAATTTGAGACACTTAATTCTTTCCTCTCCTCTCTCTGTGAAGGTTCAGGAAATTTAATATTTTGGGAACAAACACAAAAGTAATGAACATGGAAGAATCTACTAACGGAAGTCTGGCAGCAGAATTCAGGCACTTGGTAAGGGATTTTTTTTTTCTTCTATTGACACATCCATTTAATTGTGTGTGTAGAGGGTGTGGTAGGAAAGAGACAAATTGCTTTTGTTATTGAAGTAATTGTTTACTTCTGTATAAGAGGAACTGTGAACATCTTTCCTTTTTCTTTGTTCTTCCTTTTTGAAATCTTTGGCCTGTTTCTATTGAAGCACTATTGCTTTTGTCACTGAAATACAGCTAGAAAGACAAATAAGAGCATTCACTGCCTTACAGGTTATGTTGCAATGAGTTCTGTGGAGGAGAAAAAAAAGCAGCCTAGAAATGCTATTTGGAGCTTTTCAGAAGGCGGCCCATAAGTAGGGAAGCTTAGAGTAGCTTAAGAGCTTTGAAACTGGAAGAAAAAAATTGTCCAGGAGGAGGCAGCTACAAGAAATTCAATGCCTTTAGCAGACTATACAACACAATCCACAGATTGTGAGATAAATCAGAATGGTTCCATCGTTACAACAGGAAAGGGAAAATGCAAGTGGTGAACATGGAATTCTTGCTTCCTCCCTTCATTGTCCAGAACAGACACTGTCTGGAGTTTATTGTCCAGTTCAGGAGGATACTTCGATAAACCAGTATTTCATCTGATCCTTCCTGATTTCACATTGCTTCTGTTCTTATAAGGCCTCTTATATAAAGGTGTTGCATCAAAAGCATGCAATATCTTCTCACAGATGAATGGTTTATCAAAGGGTAGCAGTTATCTATAGTTTTGTCATCCCTGTGTATGTTTATAGTAAGTAGTCCCTGTGTTCAGAAATCCCAAGGGCAGTCATATTTTAAGTGTTGAGTTGACCAGGAGCAGGCTGGTTCTCCATGGCAGCAGGTATGCCCTCCCTTTTTCTTACTCGTGCATCTCTGCCAGCAGAGACAGTGGCTTCCACTGCTTGGAACCAAATGGGATCAGATACTAGTGCAGCAAGTTTACGTACAGCTGAGCAACTAGAGCATGTAAACATTTGTAACCATTAACAATTTTATTTGTGGCTGAGGTGAATGAGTGACAGGGGTTTTTTGTTCATTTGCAGCAACTGAAAGAACAGAAAAATGCAGGAAGAACAAATGAGGTAAGCAGCACTAACCTTGTTCGTAAAGCTTGCGCATACTAAAAAGACATTTGGACATTTAAGACAATGCTCTGCTCAGTGCCATGAAGAAACACACAGTATGATAGATCAATAGGAGAGGAGTTCATGTTTTGGGAAACGGTCCCTGTAGGAGGTGTCTACAGATGAGAACTACTGCCAGAATGGCGTCTCTGACCTCTCCTTCGCTGGCACCTAGCTTTAACAGGACTTTCTGGCAAGGACAGTTTCCTGTGGCTTTGAGGTAGGAGCCCAAAAAAAAGTGCCTAAAGAGTAACTATTCTAACAGGCATTTCTAGGAAGTTGGTATTGTCACTTAACTTTGACCTGTAAACTGTTTCTGAGGTCCAGAGCAAGTAACCTAAGGCAGAAAAGGTTTTTCGCCATGATAAATCCCTTACCATCCCCCCCCGCAAGCAATTTCAGTTCCTGAAAGGTTTTTTGTTGTTTGTGGGGTTGTTTTTTAATTACTTTTTTTCTTCAAAGGGTCCTCTCATTGTAACAGAAGAACTTCACTCCCTGAGTTTTGAGACACAGCTGTGCCAGCCTGGCTTGGTAATAGACCTAGAGGTATGTCTTAGGTGAAACAGAGATGGATTAAGTTTCTGTATGTCACTCATACTAACAATCTAAACTTTTTAATTCTTGGACATCAAACACTTTCAGTTATTTCGAAATATATGACTGACACCTCACAACATTTCTGTATATACACATACAGAAAGCTGTCAGATCTCAGGGTAAATAAGAGTAGATGTACTTTGCAAAGTATCTGATAACCAACTCTGTGTTAAGCTCTCTAGGTATCAGTTTCCATTTATCTCAGAAGCAATATGCCAAGAACTCTATTACTATCAGTGCTATCATAACTAACACTAAATGGAAGTTTTTATCAGACAAAAATCACTCGAGTCTTTCTAGTACTTCATCATATTGATGCTTTCTCCCCTACATACAAACTTCAAGTGAAAGAGTTAAGACTGTGTAGACAGGGAATTGCAATGGAAGTGTGTTTGTTGGTAATGTAGAGGAGGACTGCAGCAGGGTACAGAGGAGTCTGACATGTTTTTCCTTTTGTGTCCCTTTCAGACCACATCCCTTCCTATTGTTGTGATCTCAAATGTGAGCCAGCTTCCGAGTGGATGGGCTTCTATATTATGGTTCAACATGCTGTCTACTGATCCCAAGGTATTAAAAAAAACACACAAAAAACATCAAACAAAACAACCTCCCCCCACACAGAGACACTTCTACCTCTTTATGTGCAAGAACCACCTCCACAGTTCCTGAAATTGTATCAGGAATGCTATATCTAATTTTCAAGCATTGTCTGTGTACAAGTGGTTACAGCATTTCTTCCATGCAGATGACTCAGTGGAGAGAGGCACAGTGACCCACTTACCTGTCCTAAATAGAACAATGGTTGAAACTCACATAAAGATATTACACATTGTATTCAGTTTATACAGTACACAGTGAGAAGCCAAATAAACATTAAAGAATTCAAATGCAGTGCACTTGAGTAATCTGGGAATTCTACCCACTGGGAGAAGACATGTCCAAAGCAAAGTCCCAGAGATTGCTTTTCCTGTGGAAGAGTGCCTGTCAGAGTAGCAGCCTGCTGTTCTAGAGTTGGCTCAAGCTGACGTCCATTAAGCCCACATTTTCTTTTGGCAATACGCTTGTAAATTCAAGTGGCATTCCAAAACTAATGCATATTAACTACAGATTGTATTTTTCTTTTCCATTCTAGAACTTGTCCTTCTTTCTGAATCCACCTTATGCAAAGTGGTCTAAACTTTCTGAAGTTCTGAGTTGGCAGTTTTCTTCTGTAACAAAGAGAGGACTTAATGCAGATCAACTGAGCATGCTGGGAGAAAAGCTACTTGGTATGCTTCCATCACTTCAAAACTTTCAGTTCTACTGAACAAGCAGGTGGCTTGTTTGAATTGAAGCAAGTTCTACATCTTTTCTGCAATCTATTTTTTCATTTCCTCTCTCACCTTTCTCCTCCCTCATACAATATCACTTTATAGCGATGGAGTGTTTTCCAGTTTTCAATATGGTAGAGTTTGCAAATGAAGGTCAGGTCATAAAAAAAAAAAGGCTGCAGTTCTAATTTAGGAGTTACGTGCATTAAGGCAGTGCAGATTGGGGCTACTTCTGCCTTTTGAGAAGCATGAAGTAATGCATGTTTAGTCAGTCTTTGAGATGGCTGTTTCTCAGCACTTTTGGGGTTGTTTTTAAATCCATTAGTTTCAGCTTCGTGCATGCCCCCAACTACAGGGCAGGTTTACTCCATCTACATAAACACAGTTGCAATATCAAAGTACAAACACCATGAAACCATGAGAGGATATCAAATTGAGTGTATCCCAGACAAAAGTCCCTAGTAAAAGCCTAATCAGCCATGAATTTTGTTTTCATAATTCCTTGTCAGTTCACCTGATAAGGCAGGGCATTTGACACAGCTGCTGAGTTTGCACGATAGACTGTAGATAAAATACTGCTGATTCCGTATATTCCACTAACCTTAAGTTTCAAGAAGTATTTATGTTTAAAGAGATTTGACATTAGTGGGTCTGGGTGATAAGTACAGCATTCCAGTCTCTCACTCCCTTCCTCTAATGCTCCCAAGACATAAGATCTGACAAAATCTTACTGATTTAATAGGTTACTTCTCCAAATTCCTCAAGGAGAGTATTTTTTATTAGTCCAGTTAACCATCAGGAAGACAAAGTGACCACTAACGTATTTCTGTGGTCAACTTGTATTTCAGAACTTCAGAGATTCTTTGTCAAGCTCTGAGTAACAGTAGAGATGCTATTTAAATCTTACCTCTACTGCTACAAGTATTTCACTACTGAAAAAATCCAGGGAGCTGAATGCTGTATATTCAGGATCCCTCAGTGCAAGGGGACACAGAATCTAACAGGGTGCCAGGATACAACTTAGCTGCTGCTTTTGTGATGTGAAAGTTGACAGAATCCTAGTATCAAGTATCAGAAACAAGCTCACTAACCCAATTTATTTTTAGAGAGCTAGGAAGGAAAAGCTGTGGATTCCTGACTCTATTGAAATCCATAGCATGATCTGTAATGGAAAGAATTTGGCTCTTAATATAGTCAGCAAAGCTGTAGCTAGTGTAGTAACAGCATAGGATTTTCTTTGCTGTTTTGATGTGGTTATGAAACACTGTTGACGAAAACAAGGCAGGGGAAATGACTGCAACAGGAATGAGATGAGTCTTTGGTTGGAGCAGACCTAGGATTCAAGAATTTGAGGCAAAAGCCTACAAGTCACCAGAATGGAGACAGGAAAGCGCTCCATCTCTGAAAGATGTTGTAGGATCTGCTGAGCTCCTACAGAAAAGCTTACAGGTTGCAGTTTTCTTGTTTTGCTGGAGAAGAGTTGTGCGAGATTTCAGTCTCCTTCCTGGAGGTGTTTTGAAACTGGCAAATGTTAGGTGTAGCACAGCTTAGAAGGTGTCAGAATGAATTTGTTCCCACTACACAAGGTCTGTTTAGATACATTTGGTAATTCTCATGCAGTGAGCTTCTCCAGAGGAGAATTCTGCAAGCCCTCCCTTGCACTACCTATGGAGATACTGTAGCCTTGCATTTCCTTTCTTCCTTAGTCCAGCAGCTCAGAGTTGTAAATAAACACTCTGAACATGGTTCTAAAAGCACTTGTCTTTCAGCTTAAGTAACTTACAGAACATGACTGAAGTCAATTTTTTCTGTTCAGGGCCAACAAGTGGAGGATCTCTGGATGGCCTTATTCCTTGGACAAGATTCTGCAAGGTATGAATGCAGTTTAAAAAAATGAGAGGGAACAGGGAGCTTTGTCTTGGGGTGGGTTTTTTGGTGTTTGTTTTTTTTGTTTTTGTTTCAGTGTCAGGGTGTTTTGTGGTTTTTTTTTTTTTTACTCCTCTAGGGTTCTTTTTCAGTAGTGTACCCTAATTATTCAAGAGCTTTGAGCTTACATAGTTGTGGGAGGTTTTTGGTGGTTAACATAAAGTAGCAGCAAAAGGAAGAAAAAGGGCATGTAATAGCAAGGAGCAGATGGTTTTGAGCTTGCTTTTGAGCCAGTCAACTGTATAGAAAAATGCATCTTTGAAAGACAGCATCTTCATTATTATTAATGCAATCGCTATTAATAGACTAGTTCTCCATTTTAACTGTTACAGGAAGCATCAGAAAACCCCAGCAAGATGAGTAATAGGACATTTCCCAGACCAGGGGCAACTGGATTAGCACAGGGCAGCCAAGAGTGTCAGCATGATGGCAGAAAGCCACAGCATATTTCATAACCCTGGCTACAGCAAGACAGGAGAAGTCTTCACACTTTCTTTGGCTTTAGACCCTAAACTGGTATAGATAAGCAGG